GCGCGAGTCCGAGAACTTCTCCCTGCCGAGGATTGGCGGTCGGCAGGACCCTCCGGAGGCCCACCGCTGCGGGGGTTCTGGTTGACCCCTCCCAGGGACACGGAAAAACTAGAGCAACAAGGCGATAGCGATCGCGTGTTGAAGATACCCCAGTGAAGTGCGATGCTTGGGTTCTGTGCCATCAGCTTACAGCGAGGCTAAGGCGGCTAAGGGTGAGGGCGGGCAGGGTGTTCCTTTGTGATCTTGTCACCACAAGCGATTTCACATGGACCTGCAACACCTTTGAAGTGCTAGTCGCTCTGAATCACTGCATGTCCATGTATGTCCAAAATCGTCTAGGAATAGGAAAAACATGTGTCAAGCCTTCTCTGCTGGACTTTGTGCACGCAGATCCAACCAACCAACCAACTTCAAAATCGGACTCATTGACCTAATTGAGCCATGCACAGGCTTGGCAAAGCATATGACAAACCATACTTCCAGAGAGCTTGGCAAAACCATTTCACTGGAGTCACTTGCAAGATTTCAAGCGCCACCTCATAAGAATCGCCAATGCTAAGGCCGTTCACAGCGTCGTCTATGTCCCTCTGCCTCTTCAGCAGCACCCCTCCCCACCTCAGTCCCCTGGAGAAGTGTCCGGGCGCCTGCACGAGAGGATGAAACAAAAACACGCCCGACATGGACAAGTAGGCCCTGTCCATGTCGGGCATGTCGGGCATGGACATGGAGAATTTGCCCCAGTAAACTGGAAACGTCCCCTGTCTTTCGAGCAATCACAGGCACTGGCCAAGTCCTCTACCAGTTGATGACGTCTTTCTTTGAAACTGAGCGCACAAAATTCTACCTTTGATAACTACCGGTAGTACGTTGGTTCGTTTAAAAAAAATGTCTCCCTCAAACTCGTGGCACACATCCAAAGTTGTGTTGCTTGTACGGGGAACGGTTTATCATAATTAGATATAACTCGTCTGCGTATAGAATCATTTAGTCTAGAGTGTAGAGTCTAGTCTACCAAGAAGCAAAGGCCAAAAATGACTTGTGCTTTTCTGCTACAGTAAAAAACAACAAAAAAAATATAGCTATATACTATATACACATCCTACACAAAACAAATCATCTGTAATGAAGCCACACTCTCATTCTCGTGTCACTCAACAACCAGAGCCCGCATCTTGGGGGCTTGCCCGAGATCTCCGTGCCTTTTTTTCGATCTCGTTCATGCACTTCAGCTCTGCACCTCCGCACCGGATCCGCAAGTCGCTGAGGCGACTTGTTCAATATCAAACCATCTGAGTCCTATGCCACTGATTTTGCCTATGCAAAGCCCAGATGAAACTTCCCAACCCCCGGTTGGAAGTCCAGTTCACACCAAGATCTCGCTGCTCCCAGTCCCATCTGCACCTCGGCGTCCTCGTTCGTTGCCGCAGATGATGAGCTTCTCTGCTTGGCCTCCACGGCCGCCCTTGTCGCCATCCTGGAACGGATGTCTAACGGCGAAATCCGCGGTGTCCGTCCGCACGTGTCCTCACCCCTTGGGTATGGCGGATGTGCAGCGGATGTGTCCACTTTCAGCCATACCCAAGGTGCATTGCAGGCCAATGCAATGACCTTGCTAACAGGATCAGGAATAAGCTTCCAATAACCGTACTCCCCTTGGTCATACTTTTGCAGCCACAACCACACAAAGCTTCTTGGACTCCGTCCAAGGATGCTGTTCTTGGGAGATGTGTTCGATTCAATATGGAGGTTGTTGAAACAAAAAAACACCTGGGTTTGTATTCAATCCTTACAAAGGAATTGAATCCCATTGCAACAATTCCTCTTGAACATACTGTAACCAGGAAAAAGAAGAAAGAACATGTGCTCTTGTTATACATAAGCAGTCTCCATGTTCAAGTGATGTTCACCTTGTTCTCAGTTCCCACATGTTCCCACCCTAACAAATCAAAATGTTCTGCAGCAGTCCGTTCTGCCTGCCTGCAGTCAGGCTGCATGCATTGACTGGTCTCGATCCACAAATAACAAAAGGGTATGTCTCCAAATGGAGGAAGCAGGGACCTGCTCCCTAAACCCTGGTCAAATGCACTGTCAAACATGGTGTCTTTCAAACCATGTACCTCGACACCCGTCACCCAGTCCTTGGTCATGAAGAACATGAGTGTCCCCCACCTTAGCCGTGCTTGACGAGAAATCAAGGATGATCAAATTTGCTGATCCTCGGGTATGACATGTTCCCAAATGATCTTGACGTCTGCCACCTTGTACAGTATAAAGCCTTCCCCAGGCGGCTTTTGGGGCCTTTTGCTACCTGTTACCTAGACCAAGCTCCTTTTTGACCCACTAAAGGCGACATTGAAACCCAAAAAAGTTGCTTTACGATCGGTGTGCATGTCACGTCGTCGCCGGATGGATGGCCTTTGCGAAACGGGAAGCCCAACAAGAAAATAGATGTCCTTCGTTTGGTCCGTTCCAATGAATCTGTACGAGAAGTCTTCCGAAAGGATGTTAGATCCTGCCATCTTGGCAAATCCCGTAGAATTGGATGTGCCAAAGGTTCACCTCTGTTCTTGCTGCTTCACCAGAATACACCTCCAGAGGCAAAATTGATCCAAACTAGCGCATTGCCATTGAGTCACTCTCTGGGACGTGTGTTTTTGTGTCCATCCCAAGAAGAATGCTTTGAATCAACAACATATAACAACTTGCAGTTGCATACGTACCTCATATCACGACCAGATCTTGTCATCCGCTCCCACCTCCAGTTCAGCCGAGCTGCTCCTCCTCCATTCGCCCCAAGGTGGCTCGCCGGCTGCCGGTGATGTAGCCGATGCAGTCGCTCGGCACCTGGGCAGCAAAAGTTGTGAGGCAAAAAGCAACAACAAACACACACACAAAAAAAAAAAAAACTTGAGAAAACATAAATAGATATATATATATATATATGTGTGATGATATGTGTATACTGTGTATACTGTGTATAGATGTTGATAGTATTTTGATGTATTTTGGGACATGCCACGGATATGCCTTCGGTTGCCAATGGTTCCGATCACCCTCGATGCCATTCTACGCCCTTTGGCCCCTCCTGAGCTCCACGCGTGCACGACACCTGGGTCGGCCCAGCGTCGACGATGCACGGTCGACACGACCACGGTCGACACTCCCATCGACTTGTTTGACCGATTGAAGATATTGAAGGGAATCCAGAAGCACACCTATGCTGACAGAGTGACCTGTGAAATCCTGTTTTTTGTTTTGGATGCAGTGCTCGGGAAACTGAACAGGGATGAGACAGGCTCTGCCGAACCCCCAAAGGCTACGCTGAATCGCCCCCGTTGACCTACAGCGTTCACCTCAATCAATATACACTAATAGACTCAGACCAATCCCTACACATCACATGATGCTGAAAAAGAGGACCAAGTAGACCGTCAGAATGCCTAATTTCAAGAATGTCCAGAAATGAAAGCAGTTCAATAATGTAGGGAGGTACAACAATAGCCTGGATCCACAATTCTCCAGGTCCCAAATCCCATCCAGACAGCTTCAGACATTTGAATGCTGCAGATGCTTATGCTCTGGTCACAGAGACTAACTATTGCGGACCCTCCTCAAAACCTTCCAAAACAAACAAAGTAAACAAGCATGTAAGGGAGGCCGCGCCTTGTTCTTACGAAATTAACATTACACATGACAAGTGTGTCTTTTAAAAAGGGAAGGGACGAAGCTAATTATCTAATATATAATATGTTCTAATTACAGTAATTCAATTTATATTATGAAAATTGATAAAAATGAAGCCCATCCCCAACCCTTGACCTCTCAAAATTCTCTTCAGGTCGTGGAATGTTTCAGGGTTCATCTCAGCAACGAAACCGGTCTTCCATACCAAGGACACCAGACACCTCAGCCTTGCAGAATCTCTCGAGAACATCGCCGAGCTTCAGCAGTCATCGCGGTCCTCCCAGCCATCCACGTACACAGGGCCTTCCAGCTGAGCGAAAAGCCACCTGGAAGGCAAAGCCAGGCAAAAACACATCCATGTCTAAAGAAAGCTCTTGGATCTCCACGTCCGGATGATTCCCGTTCAGCCGCATGACTCGTTCCGTCGCCAGACAGACTGGTTTCCAGAAACCGATCGGTCGTGCCCGGTCACACCCGGTCCGGTCGTCCCTCCGTCGCCGGTCGTGCCCGGTCCCGTCGAGACTGAAGGCCTGCTGTTGGATGAGGGTTGCATGGCTGCACAAAATAGCACAACCCATCGTCCTCTCAATTCAACACTGAACTGGAGGACTCCCCACCTATACAGCGATAAATCAAAACCTTCCCACTAGTGCAGTCGCCTTCCCTGTCCACCGAGCCACTTCATGTAGTCTTTGGCACGGCGACGCTCTGCTCGGGTGCCAGAGAACAAGCAGGTGTGGCCCACATACCTCAAATTCAAAATGATGAAAAACAACTGCAATATGTTGCCATATGATAATAAATTGAGATCCCATATTCTCAAAATCCATAATAGCAGGAAACACATGGTTATGATCTGACCAAGGTACTACCTTTGTGCTTGTTGGCAGGGTCTCGCGCTCGATACTGGCATAAGGCATCCCAACAAGGGGTTGCTATCACTTCTGAGGGTCAAATTTCCAAGCCAAAGGATGCGAAATCCCAACAATGTCAAATACCCAGAGAGTCAACGAAAGATTGTGCCGCCCCTAATTACTCATCATGTTCATTACTCATCATGTTCAACAGCGCAGCTAGGTGTCAACAAGAACCACGTTTACCACTCTGTTTGGGACCCTCTGCCTGCATGGTACCTTCCCGTTGTTCCGACTTGTCATGCCAAGCTTCTGAACGATGCATCCTGCACTGAAGGGTCGCTGAGGGTGGCATGCCACACATGTCATGCTCCCAAAAAATGAACTGAAGAAAGTCTCGCTTCTTTCGCCAGGCTATTTCTGGTCGCACCAGTTCCAAATGAAGCACCTGGTGCTCGGTTTTCACGGACCCCTGGTCACTAGCATCACTAGCAGTTCACCGATGGTTCGCTGGAACCGAGACAACACCGCTCCTGATGCTCGCTCGAGCTTCTTTCGGGTGCCGCCCTGCTTCCCCAAGGCATAAGAGAGCTCGTCATCCTGCACCAAAACCCCGATCGAACCGTTGAAACCAGGCAATCCTGAGCATGGGAGCCTCGACTGTCCACGTCCGGTGGATGGACATGAAACCAAGACTGCGCCGGCCAGACTAGCCTTATGCGGCTCCGCAAAGGAAGCAAACCAATGGTCTTTGAAAAAGCTCACAGACTTGGCCATCACAGATCTCAACATCAATGCTTTGTCTTCCCAAACTCTTCTGCGTGCCTGAAAGGTCATGGTATCTGTGGACCAGGTGCCTGCCGGCAAAGGCTCCAAAGTCCAAAGTGTCAAGTCTCTCCAAGGTCGATCACCCCTGGACTGATGACGACAGCCGCAAGTTACAATCAACAAAGAGTTGCGCTCGTAGCTGTTCAAACAGAGTCTGACACCCATTCGATCTGCAAAGTGAGACAATAATAATGTACTGTCTTGCATATAAACAACATTTCATCTTGCTTGAATGATCTTCAATTCATGTGTTAGTTTCTTTGCTACTGTGTCAAATCGGTCAAAATGTAGGAGAAGCTAATGTAATTCAGAAATATGGTGAAAGCTAGGGATGTCCCTTTATATCAATGATGACAAACATCTGGAGCTGCTGAAAATGCGACATTTCAAACATTGTCTAAACAACCAATTCTTCTATTGGCACATTGAATAAAACTGGATGTTTGCTGCAACTGTATCTTCATATTATCGTGTGACCTTGTGGAAATGCGCCTAAAGCATGCATAATAGGCCTAAAACTTACTGTAACTTCGTTCAGATCGTTTCAGCCTGGGAGTCGTGGTGCAAAGTTGAGATAACGTCTGCTCCAAGAAAAATCAAACAAGGACAACACAATTCCAATGACTCCACGTCACGAGAAAAAGTGCAGAACTGCATCGGACATGGCAATGGTTTCAAAAGCGCCTTCCGGGTCCTTCCCTTTGTCGCGGTCAATCACTTCATTCTTGATCTTGTTAAGGTAGCCTGCCGTCGATGGTAATGCGTATCCGGTGTTCGACACTTGGGGTGGTGTTGTTGAGCGGTAAGGTGGGAAACATGGTGCGGTCAAGGGTCTTCAAGCAAAGCACCCAAACCAAGAATGTCTTTAAGAACTTGCTGACACCCTCAAAAACCATCAAGAGGATCTACCCCAGACCGCTTGCAGGGAACCCAACTTTACACAAAGGAGCCCAAACGAACCGTGACATGATGGATAGCCTTCCCCGCTGAGACCACATAGTTGAAGTACTTGTGGGTGCCGTGGGTGTCGCACCCCATCCATCTGAACCAGCTATAATCATCATCATCATCATCATCATCCGATGCAAATGTTCCATCAGTTGCCCCAGCTTCCCGGTGCTTCCCGGTCACCCGGCTGTTCCATCCACCATCCACCATCGGCGCCTGGGCTTTTCGTCTCAATGGCACTAAGGACCTTGAGCTCCGCACCGCGGCGCCCGCGGATGTCCCCGAAGATGGCCAGCTTCTCGTAGTCCTTTGGACGATGGTCGGATGACAGGTGGACTGGTGCATTGGAGGATTGGGGAGAGCCGGCAGGGGGGCGGAGGCATTCGGAGGCAGGGTCTGACCCTTCTGCACAGGCAGCCAAACCCAGTGACGGTTGGAGGGGTTTAGTCTACTCTGGGTGTGTAGATTGTGCGAACAGTGGGTTGGGTTAAACATGGTTAAACAGTGATGATTAGTATGTGTGAAAATTGGTTAGTAAGATGTCTTTTCGAGGCTTGGGTGAACCAGGATGGCAACAAATCCTCCACCTGGCTGAAGAATGGTCGTTGCACATCTCTTTCAATTCGTTGGGGGTCCATATGTCGGGTATCTGTCTCATCTTAATTAATGTCGGATCCTAATTAGTCAAGTGGGAGGGAATAGTAAAAAGTGTTCGCCAAACTACTACTACTACTACTACTCCTACTACTCCTGCTACTGCTACTCCTACTACCTACTACCTACTACCTACTACATACTACATACTACTAACTACTACTACTACTACTACTACTACTACTACTACTACTACTACTACTACTACTACTACTACTACTACTACTACTACTACTAC